ACGAGCAAGTCCCAGGAAAATGGAAATTGTACTGGGGTCAGCACAATCAGCGAAGACGGGTCATTCAGGAATCCAAGTAAGTAAGTAAGATGTGAATTCCACCGTGTAAATTTGAATAAAATTAATTCCATTTTCCATTAGGTACCGTTAGTGGGAAAAGTGTAAACAACGGAATAATCGATGTAGCTGCTACCGGTATATTCTCCAAAAAAGGATTTAAGGTGTTAGGATCGCGAGCTTTACGTCCGTTCATCAGCCAGAGGACCTTGAGAACTTCGAAATGAGACGATGAATCATCGACTTATGCCTTCCACTTACGACGAACCTAGAATTTTTATAAAAATCATTCACTGTTTCTCAAAGAGAAATACGGTTTTTGAATAGAAAGATAAATGAGAACAAATTTTCACTTACGGATTTCGTGAAGTGAAATTACTGTCGAAGAATTTTAAGCAAAGGCAGAAAATCTCCCTGTAGTGGAGAGCTGTGTACTTTCTATCAGAACTGTCAGGATTCCAATGAGAATCAAGCTCAAACAGCACCCAACGAATCAGTGAGTAGAGTTGACGATAGAACTTGAGCTACTGAATCTACGAACCAACCGACATCATTTGAATAGAAGAGTTGTTGGGGGCCGCACGATATATAAAGATAGTCAACCCAAGTGCGCGCCATTATTAATAAAGCTCTCTCTAAAGCTCTCGTAGTTGATCAATACCTGAGGGATGCNGCCTACCGATGTATCGAGCCAGTGGTGCTATCCTCCCAGACAAGTCTGGTACTAATTCGCCCACCTCGGAGGGATGGAAGGCTTGGTGAACCATGGACGCGGGGATCGATTCCACGTGTGTGTCGCAGAGGCGCCTCCAACCACTGCGCAACCCGCGCCCTTTGCGCAACACGTGCCATTATTAATACTATTTACTATTATTAATATTAATGTGTATTTTTTTAATACTGCCTAACTCCACATATCATCTGGACCTCAGGGCCACCTAATTCGGTGATTACAACTCATTGGAAAATTTAGGAANCTTCCAGGATTTTTTTAGACTTCATTAGCGGTCCTTTACTAATAAAAAGTGTAAGAACAGTACCAATGCACTATATTCTCAATGTTGATCTTCCATATGAAATCTCACCTTCTTCAGTTTCTGAATTCGCAATGTTCTCGAGGCATTTCTTCTAATGCGAAGAACTACGCGGGTCACAACCGAGGAATTCCACTGAATTCTCTTCGATGGTTTTGGATAATTAAGATCTCATATCTTCAATAGTGGTAATGTAGGGCCGTCATCTGATCCGTACTATATCGCTCGGCCAACCAGTAGCTAAAATCGCTAGCTCCAAGAAACCTAGCCACATGGCAGTGACCCTCCTTCTGATTCAAAGTGAGCAGCCGTGATCCGTGATGAAGAACCGCGGTAACTCTAGCATCAATAATTTTAAAAAAACCATGTTCGTCCAGTGTCCAGCACATCCATGGCAAAAAAATACAGGATGTTCTGAAGAATCAGGCGAATCCTCACAATAATCCGAGCAACCGCATGACGATTGAGGAGGCTTTGTTATTATTACATGGTCAGTTGCACATTTGACTGGCTTCTCCTCACGAATCACAAAGAATCACGAAGGAATGTTGTTTTATCATGATTCCCAACGCGCTGAAATTTCCGACGTATATAGACAGACTCTCTGCTTCGTTGGGAGCACCACCTCATCATTCCTTGTCTAAAATCTGTTACTAAAGATGTAAGGCCGATGTCTAGCAGCGAAAATCCATAACGAAATACTTCGTTTTACCGTCGAAAAACGGACAAGTCAATTCGTCGTTCGTCCACAACAGTTCAAATCAGGGAGTTCAATTTTTGCTCTGATAATCGTTGTCGAATCACAGCTTTAAATTGTGACCAATTTCAACACTCCAGTATATTTCACTAAGTTTCAAATATACCACGAAACCACAGTGGAACTCAAAACACTTCATTAACGAGCAAAAAATCAAACGCAGGTATAGGGAAAAACACTGCTGTGCTGCTTAATATGGAATGATAATTTTCTCTGACAAATCGACGCAGCTCGAACACAAAAGGGTTGTATTTCCAAATCTGGAATGAACTAGTCTTATTGAAAATTGGAAAGAAGACAGTATCTTATTGAAAATCTGGCAGTACATCGCTTCAATGCGATCCTAGAATTATGCTACATCAAGATTCGTTATAGAACAAGAATAGCCTTCAGAAAATCATAATTTCAGTGTGTTCCTCAAATTACGAACAATGAAAAGAAGCAGAGTGCCTAAAGAACATCATATATAACTAGAAAAACAAAGTANCTCTCTGCTTCGTTGGGAGCACCACCTCATCATTCCTTGTCTAAAATCTGTTACTAAAGATGTAAGGCCGATGTCTAGCAGCGAAAATCCATAACGAAATACTTCGTTTTACCGTCGAAAAACGGACAAGATTCGTCGTTCATCCACAACAGTTCAAATCAGGGAGCTCTCTGATAAACGTTGTCGAATCACAGCTTTAAATTGTGACCAATTTCAACACTCCAGTATATTTCACTAAGTTTCAAATATACCACGAAACCACAGTGGAACTCAAAACACTTCATTAACGAGCAAAAAATCAAACGCAGGTATAGGGAAAAACACTGCTGTGCTGCTTAATATGGAATGATAATTTTCTCTAACAAATCGACGCAGCTCGAACACAAAAGGGTTATATTTCTAGATCTGGAATGAACTAGTCTTATTGAAAATTGGAAAGAAGACAGTATCTTATTGAAAATCTGGCAGTACATCGCTTCAATGCGATCCTAGAATTATGCTACATCAAGATTCGTTATAGAACAAGAATAGCCTTCAGAAAATCATAATTTGAGGGTGTCCCTCAAATTACGAACAATGAAAAGAAGCAGAGTGCCTAAAGAACACCATATATAACTAGAAAAACAAAGTAATCAGCACATATGGCCAGGTTCTCGTACAAAGGAAGTATTGTAGTTTATAAGGTAGTGTTACAAATGGAATCGAAGACATGTCTCCTAATTTTAGTACAAGTATACAAAAATACTAGTACGAACACCGAGACACCATGTGTTAAGAATAGCAATGATTCTTGCAAAAAACAACGAGGTTGAAAAAAAAAACCGTCCCATTACTATTCTTCTTCTGTCAAGGATAGGCTTGTCAGTCATCAGAAACGGAGCAGTTTCTGTTTTCGTCTTTAGAACCTGCTTTTGAGTACACACTGCCTGAGTGGCTAAAGAGGCCAGACTCCTAAACCTCGTACCAATTACAAGTAGCGTGGGATTATAGCAATTAATGACAAACTGCAGCAGGTGACACACATACCACATACACAGACACACACACATTACACATACAAATACATACAAACAAACATACATGTACATACATAGACGCGCACACACATACACACATATACGTACACACGTGCATACACACAACATTACCTCTCCTATACTTTCCAGACGACTTTTCCTAGTCGCAGCAAGGGTGTCCGGAGAAAGACATACGTTTTGAACTTCTAACAATGATTCCCGAGTACGCAACTTTTTCGAAGTCTGAATGGATCTAGATGGGCTAGAGTCCAACAAAGTCGAAAGAACGGGGGACTGGAAACTGATAATGCTATGCGGAACCGACTTCAGATGAGATTGACGAACTCTTAGACAGAAGCATCTTCTCTTTTTTAGGAACGTGTGGAATTTCTGAGTCGTTAGCAACAGGATAGTGCGATTTCTTTGGTGTTTTGCCTAAATAATCAAAGATTACATATAATCTATGACGGAAAATGGTGAAACTTGCAAGGAAACAGAAGTAGAAAACTCTTTATTCGTACAAAGAATTCGGAGAAACAACCTTTTCAAGCAACTAAAGTACAGACTTCGTCAGAAAGTGTAGCGTTGAAGTGATCCCGTAAAAAAATGAATACCTGTATTCTCCCGACTCAACCAATTCTTCTCAACCAAAGCAGATAATTCCTTGTTAACCTCTCCTAGGCTATCACGGACATGCTGGACAATCGCTCGTTCACGTTTTAACTAAACGAGTACTATTAGCGACATCTATTGCGACAAAAACCCTAACCTACTTGCTCATTCTGGCTTCCTACTCGTTTTTCCTCATTACTGCCACTAATATTCACGATCTGTTCACCGCTAAACTCAACTCTGCTTAAAGAATTTCGTATGCAATCGGTGAAATATCTGTTTTTATTCATAACGTCATCAGCGAAGGTGTCTGTTTCCACCTGCAAAAAACGATAATAACCATGGTCAAGGATGAAGATAAGAGAAACGTTTAACCTTTATGTTTTTGCTCATCTCATTTAGTGTTGAACAAGCTTCTGTCAAGACTTCTGTAGATGACCTATAAAAAGACACCGATCCCAGTCGCCAAATAGCAATGGATAATCACTAGATACCTCCCAACGGTTTACCGCCTTACCGTGGTTGGAAGGAGTGCCTGGGTGTCGCAATGCGATGTACAGCGAGGAGATTCAAATTCCTAGCGGGGTCTCCCAAGCTGAAAAGGAGTTCGGCATTCCCATCGAGAAGCCCACCTAAGATCTTTTGCTCTTGCAAAAGAATACCAGGAACCGTCACCGTCCTGGTACCAAACTAGTCGCATGGTGGCAAATTTCCTTCTGATCCACAAGGGTGGCGAATGCCTGTGGTGGTACCACCTGGAGCAGACTTTGGCTTGGCTGGTCTCGGAACTACAGGGAACCACAGTGGCTAAACCAGCAAAACTCCCATAAAATGGAGATTACGCTGAGGATCCGCAGAACCAGTGAAGACGGGCCACCCTAGTATACAAGTAATTACTAGATAAACGTACGCTCGACCAACAACCATTTCATCATCCTTTAGCACATCATCGATGACTAAATTGGATTTCAATGCAACATCTTCATGCTGCTGGATAACAGTCTGCAACTTCTGCAGATGCGCTAGACTATTTTCAAACATAGCCACATCGTGAGACTTCATCCTAGAAAAAAGCGAATATCGAAAAAGGTTCAAATCCCGACTATATCATATATCGTCTTCCAAATATCGAAAACAAGTACAAAAACCAAACGAAAAAAAAGAACACAAACATAAATTGAAAAAAAACTGGGACGCCCACATGGTTAGTGTGTCCTCGCTTTCGTCATGATATGACTGACATTCGGCAACTATTGCATTCGCAAGCTCAATCATCTGAAATTTTAAGCCAGTGATTTTCAGTTACCGATGGTTTTACGAAAAAAAAAAAGACATTACAAAGACCTTAAGAGTTCTTTGTTCCCGATGATGACGCAGTGTGTTCATTGCATTTGCTCGTTCAGATGCATCTTTTTCAATTGCTTCCCGTCTTGCTCTTAGCTAAATTGAAATATTATGCATGTTCAACCACGCTATTTTTTTTTTACAAACAGCAACCTAGATATGATGTAGTCTGCTCAATAAGGGAAGCTAAGTCACAATTTCCATCAATAAATGGAAGCAAGACTTTGACTACCACCCTACTAATCTACTGAGCGGGTTCCATAAACTTCCCACGAAGACAATTTTCTCGCATCCTGATGGACTTCATAAAATCTAATCAATAGAAAAATACGAATCTCGAGAGATTTCTCTGCATGGAAATAACTGAACATTAGAAAGAGACAGACGTCTGCCAGAAATAAAACAAAACTGCTGTCCTAACTTTCGTTGAACATCAGAAATAACACAATAACATGGAGATCAATACCATTCTGTCCCCTTTGGCCGACCAACATGTAGACCCGCGCTGCAAAGGAGTACATGCTTTCCGCAGACAGTGTACTATATCCTTTTATTTACTGCCTTTTTCTTTTTAATGGCAGGGTATGTTGCCTAGCTGAGAGACAGGCAGAACGAAGAACCCGGATGGTGTGGTGGTGAAGTGCGCTACTCTCGGGAAAGGACAATAGCGAGCGTTCGTTCCACACTGCATACACCTGCGGTCCGGAATTTTGCGAATATCGCAGCATTATATACGAGTGTACTACGTCGCTCCAGCTTTTCAACAATCACCAACTACTATAATTAACAAAGAAAAACAATAATGCAACATACCACCGGAAACCTGTTCATCGTCACACTACAGTAGAAAGCAACCAAATTGATTAAAACGAAGAAGGAACCTACGTTATTAGAAAATTCTTCGCCGAATATTATTTTGCCAACAACACTTTCATTTTTTCAAACATCAGCGCAGAACAAGCAGAAAAGATGCATACCAATATGTGGAAAAACCGGAAGAATAAACCTGGAGACTAGAAGAAAAAGAGCCCACTTCGTAATTTAAAAAAAAACGAAGTAATGGTGTGAAGTAGAAGCGGTTTTCTTAGATGGATCAGTTATCGGGTTCTTGTGATCTGTAGTCCTCTCTATTCGCACGTACACACAGGGCTTTCAACAAATGTAAATGTCGACTTCTGNCCCTTTGGCCGACCAACATGTAGACCCGCGCTGCAAAGGAGTACATGCTTTCCGCAGACAGTGTACTATATCCTTTTATTTACTGCCTTTTTCTTTTTAATGGCAGGATATGTTGCCTAGCTGAGAGACAGGCAGAACGAAGAACCCGGATGGTGTGGTGGTGAAGTGCGCTACTCCCCGGAAAGGACAATAGCGCGCGTTCGTTCCCCACTGCATACACCTGCGGTCTGGAATTTTGCGAATATCGCAGCATTATATACGAGTGTACTACGTCGCTCCAGCTTTTCAACAATCACCAACTACTATAATTAACAAAGAAATACAATAATGCAACATACCACCGGAAACCTGTTCATCATCACACTACAGTAGAAAGCAACCAAATCGAAACGAAGAAGGAACCTACGTTATTAGAAAATTCTTCGCCGAATATTATTTTGCCAACAACACTTTCATTTTTTCAAACATCAGTGCAGAACAAGCAGAAAAGATGCATACCAATGTGTGGAAAAAGCGGAAGAATAAACCTGGAGACTAAAAGAAAAAGAACCCACTTCGTAATTTAAAAAAAACGAAGTAATGGTGTGAAGTAGAAGCGGTTTTCTTAGATGGATCAGTTATCGGGTTCTTGTGATCTGTAGTCCTCTCTATTCGCACGTACACACAGGGCTTTCAACAAATGTAAATGTCGACTTCTGAGAACACAGTATAAACGCAGACAGTGAGGACGGCTATTTTACCTCCATAATATGTAGAGCTGTTGAGCTATGATTTCTGATGATAAACCGCATACATTACACCCAACCGTATTCATAGTTTAGATAAAAAGTAACCGCCTTGTAGAACCAGTAAAATATGCTTTATCAAGTAGACGAAAAACCGGTAACAAAATGATGAGACAAGAACACTGATGTAGCTCTCCCAAAAATCGAACGATTTGGAAAGGGTATTCGAAAAGATGGACCGATAAGCTTATGGTACCGGCAAGCAGGATGAGTCAAGAACCAATTTTAAATAATCAAACCGCCGCCAAAATCATATATGAACTCAACCCCCTCCATGAGTGATAGCTGCTGAACAACGAAGCAAATAGAAGAACTACTACGGTCTACATAACATGTGAAGATGGGTGACGTAATTATCTAAATTACTTAACAAGAAATTTTTATCGTTAGCTAACCATAAATTCCGTTTGTTTTGTTAATTCTTCCACAGTCTGTGAGATTTTCGTCATCTCCTTCTTAACAACAGAAAGCATCCGTGAGAGTTCTTCACCCGTTGAACAAATATTCTTCACTTGAGCGGTCTAAAATACATAAGCAAATTATGCCAGATGGCTTCTCACCACATGCATATCACTAAACAATGAATTGACTACAATTTCTGTGAAATAAACGAGTTTTAAGTAATTAACACACCAAATTTTCCTCCAAAGTCTCAGAACTGCTGCAAAGCGTAACAATCCTCGAAACGAACGTTTTAGAGATCCATTCGGATTCATCGCTCCATCGAAGAAGAGCCTCATCAGCAGATTTAGCACTCTCATTGCAATTATTAACACATTCCCTTAGTTCTTCCAAACCTTGCTCTGTAATGGGTTGCAATGTTCTGTAGAGAAAACACAACAGTTGCACGTTTAATCACAGACTTTTAGTTACTATACGGATTCTACTGACCAACTTTCATATAGGCAATTTCGCTCGTACTTTTCCTTAATCACTCAAAAGAGCAACTTTTTATAAATCTCGGTATAAATAATCGAAATAATTATTCATACGTTCTTATGAACTGATCTTTTTGAGTTAATGCGAGGCTGCTAAAGTTGTCGTTGTTGTTGATCGACGGTGACGTTGCGGCGATTCCTTCTTCAGAGCCGTGCTGTCATGAGAGGACTAGGTCGGTCTCTTCCCTGAGTTATTAGGAGATGTGCCAGCAAATCACTTCCGACTTGTAAAGGAGTCCCACTCGTAGCGGCACGGCTCTTGGGAACTCGAAATCGCCGAAACGTCAGCCATCGACCAACAACAAGAACAAGAACAACAACGACAACGACAACGACTACTATACCAACCTCGCATCAGCTCAACAAGATGAGTTTATAAGGTCATATAAATAAATGCATCAATTTTCCTTAATCATTCCAACATTTCCAAAGATTTGTCGCCACATACGCATTTCTTCCAATTGCAGATCCTCAAACGCGTCGAATGCAAATTTAGCTCAAGTTGCAATTTTCCATGAAGCATAAGATAACGCTTCTTTCCTCCCAAAAATGAATTCCACTCCAAAACCTCACAACCAGCAAAAATATGGACCCTTGCGACATACTATATCACAGTATCATTCTAGAATAGCATTAATAATCGTGTCTAACTGTATCCGCGAAATACTTCCATTTGCCCATCTGTACAACTTTATATACTTCTTGCCAATCTTCCTCAGCTTTTTTTTTTCGGAAGCACACTTCTACAGGTGTACTATTCATAGCATATTAATAACATTGCATGTCTCGGGTACCTCGCATAAATCCTTTAGTGGCGATTATGAGAACAAACGTATGGAACAAGCATATCGGACCATTTTAATATATTTGAAAAATGCATGTATGTATTGCTACCCCGAGTGCGGTCGAGCCAGTGGCTATAACTCTCACATTGGCACAATCTCTAGCCATTGCACTTACTGCGTTCATAGAGAATTACAATGAGCGATTATACCATCGGGTTTTCAAATTACGGTCCCGTTCTGTTCACTGTGAAGAATGACAACGAAAGAAAAGCTATCTCGATTTTAGTATACCCAACAGATATTTCTACGATTCTGTCAAATTTTATACATTCTCTCTTCTTTATAGCACGTATTAACGAATCCTTCTGCAACACTAGGTACTAGATT